GCATAGAAAGAGAAAACAGATACATGGTTTTCAGGCACTGAGGGAAGGTAGGGGTTACTACTTAGTGGGGATGGATGAGAACTAGACCGAGGTGAGAGTTGCTCGCATGGATAGAATTGCATTCTTTGAAAAGATATGGGGCCTGTGACTTTGCTTGGTAATAGGTGGGTCTTAATCCCATCTGAAGGTGCCCTGGTGGCTCAGTGGTTAAAGGGTTCAACTGCGAACAACAAGGTGGGCTGTTCAAACCCACTGCCTGATCTGTGGGAGAAAGAGATGGCAGTTAGTTTCTGTCAAGACAGCGGCCTTGGAAACCTCGGAAACTGAGTTGACATCAGTTTGAGGGCAATGGGTTTGGTTTGGGGTTTAATCTCATCTGAGTGGAGCCTAAGAAAAGGAAGACAGGGGAGGGAGAAGAAGAGTGGTCATGTGACTAAGGAGGCAGCTGTAGTCACAGTGAAGGAATGCCCCAGGTGTCAGGCAGCCACCAGAAACGAGGAGACAAGAGTGCTACGGTTTCCTTCTCTGAGGTCTCAGGAGGAATGAACAGGACCTACATGCTGCCTTGGACACCTCCCCTCCCCAAGTGCCCAGTTCTGTTCTCCGAGGCTCTTCCTGTCGTGGTACTTTGTAACAGCGACATTGTGGAAATACTTGGTAACACCACGGTGCACCTTGTAAAATAGTTACAGTGGTAAATGTTATGTTATAGGTATTTTGCCACAATAATAATAATAAAAATCAGGACCACGGGACTTTAATTTAATCTCTTCAAGCTGCACATCTGAATTTCCTTTCTTCCATGCTAATACTAGTTCTTAGCAATACTGGGAATGACAAAATTAGAATATCATGCAATTACTCATTTGCTTTATCCCACATTACAAGTAAATGCTTTTTAAATGTTAGCTCCCATCCGTGTTCTGCACCCTCCCCCTTATAAAGGGCAAATAATTCTTCCCCATAATTTTCCCTTCTATAATTTACAAAGGGTAGACAGATCTTTTCAGCTTTAACTTCCTAAGAGGCCTGTGGTTATGAGTCCTCAGTAATTTCGGGAACGCGTCTGTCCAGACACAAGCTGTGCAAAGGACTGCCCTGGCAGACAGCAATGCGGTCGGTTCCGGACCCAGAAAAGGAGGAGGTCCTTTTTTCTGGGTGTGGGGTAGTAGGGGAGACCAATGAGCTAACAGACAGTAAAAATCCACTCTCACTAGGAGCTCCTGGGTGATGCCAAAGGTTAATGTACTTGGCTCTGACCTGAAAGGTTGGAGATTTGAGTCCACCCAAAGTGGTCTACTTAAAAAATACAAATAAAAAGCCACTGAACACCCATAGTTCTCCTCTGACACATGTGGGCTAGCTATGAGTCAACATTGACTCAGTGGCAACTGCTTTATGATAATTGCTGCCACAATGGGGGTACATGAAATGATGAAATGCCCGGGGAGCACTCAGGAGGGGCAGATGGACCAATCTAGGCAGAGGTGTGTCCGAGAAGGCTTCCTAGAGGGGAGACACTGAAGGAGGGGAACCTAAAGGAGGAGCAGGCGTGAGTGACACTGGGAGTGATTGGGAGCTGATTGATTGGACAGCACTGAGAGCTTTGAGAACCTCCCCTGTGAAGGAATGAGCGCCTCCTTTGCCCGCCTACTACCACTGAATGCTTTTAGTATATGTGCCGCCGAAGCAAGCACGACTGAATGGTTTTATCCTGATACAAGAACCTGATCCAAAGGGGGAAAGCACAGAGCAAGATCTCAAATTCTCATGGAGCCCACGTTTTCTGGAGATCTTGAGGCTGACCGAACCCCCAACCAACT